CTCTGCTAAACTCACCGCTCTGCTAAACTCACCGCTCTGCTAAACTCACCGCTCTGCTAAACTCACCGCTCTGCTAATAGCCCAGGCCACCGATTGCCACCATCCTATAGTTATAGACATCAGAGAAATATCCGAGTAAGGCCTGAATCATTGTGGAAGGAATGGGAGTAAGGTTCGAATCGTTATGGGAGGAGTAAGAGTAAGGTTCAAATTAGAAAGAAGAGAAAAGTAACGGAATGAGAGTAATGCGATATAGGAGGAGTGAGAATAAGGCCCGAATCTATATGGAAGGAATGAGAGGAATCGGTATGGAAAAAAAAAAAAAGAGAAGGAAGTCCGTTGGTGTGAGAGAAACAAAGAGAGGAGTGAGAATAAGGTCCGAATCTATATGGAAGGAACGAGAGGAATCTTATGGAAAAAAAAAAAAGAGAAGGAAGTCCGAATTGGTGTGAAAGAAACAAAGAAAGGAGTGAGAATAAGGTGATATAGGAGAACAACAAAGGAGTAAGAGTAAGGCTCAAATCGGTATAAGAGAAATAAAAAGAAAAGGAATAAGACTAAGTCGATATGGAAGGAATGAGAGGAAAGTAAGAATAAGTCCCGAATCGGTGTGGGAGAAACAAAGTGAGAACAAGAGGAACAAGAATAAATCCCGAATCGGTATGAGAATAAGGCGATATAAAGGAACAAAAGAGAAAGAATCTACACAGAAAGAACGAAAGAAGGAATGAAAGTACTCTGCCGATAAATCTAGATTTTTAGTATAATATTATGAAATAGTGAACGACGTCAAAAGAGGAGGAATTAATTACAACACCAGACAACCCGAAGAAGAAATCTGGAAATAGAAGGTAAGCATCAATATCAGTGAGGAATTGACAAAAAAACTGATCTTTAACCATCAGAACTATAATGCCCACCTAGCATAAGTCGAGGAACTGCCCACGACAATTGATGGATCCGAGGAGAAAGCTACAAAAAAAGATCAGGAGAAATTAATATCGACAGAGTATTTGTTTTCTTTGGTAGTTTCGGGAAATTATTATTTTGCTGAGACAGGTAATCTTTTTATATGATTTGAAAGTGTAACTGTAATAATGCAACTAGCATTTATTTGTAATTTTAATTTTAAATTTATAAACATTTGTCTTTCGACAATTTAATTAATAATAATAATAAACCAATTATTCCTTTGCATTTGTCTTCATATTAAACCTCAGAAAAAAATTGATCTATTCTATATTGAATCTGCTTTTCGGCCTCTTCTTTTTGAACATCTTTACGAATACAAGATTGTATCTTACGTAAAGATCTCATTGTTACTCCATTATCATCAACCATTTCAT